TTTTTTTTTTTTATGTCGCGCGTAATCATGCTTAATCACGTGAGGGACGGTCATATTCCAAAAATTCTAAAAATTATGTTTTAAATTTTCAAATTTTTTTAAAAAAATTTATTTATTATATATTTTAAAATGTTTTACTCATTTCATCAAATTTCTGAAAATACTATAGAATCATTTGAAGATATAACTGATTTGTCTGAAAGTTTAATTCAACAAGTTGGATCAAGTGATTTTATTTCAAAATATAATTTAGCTGAACTACGATTAGAAGATTATGAGCCAAATGAATTAGTTCTTAATACAATTCATGATTTAAAATCATTTTTAATAATAAAAGTAATTGTTCCTGTTGTAGTAAAAAGATTTGCTTTGAAGAGATTGGATTTAAGAAATTTTTTGAAAGATATTTAGAAGTGAAAGGATTAGAAGATGAAAAAAAAGATCTTTGTATTAAAGCTCAATTAATGGTTTTTGAATTTAAGAAAGATAAAAACAAATCAATGACAAAATATAAGTATCAATATAATTCATCTATATATATTTGTCAAAAGGTATTTTTAAAAATTTGTAATATTGGTGAAAATAAATCATCAGATTTACAAATACATTTGCAAAATAATGGTCTATGTGATCATCTTAAAAAATGTCCCTAGACTTAACTCTTGTGCAATAGTTAATCTGGATACAACAATTTTTGTAGAACAATTTAAAGCTCAATATACAAACATTCATGGTTTGCCATCTCCAATGAGGATTCAAGATAGTTCTGATCCATTTATATATCCCCCAACTGATAAAAATATTTTTTTGATTTATAAGGATTTCAGATATCATTTGAACTCATTAAACTTAGAAAAGGATCAATCTGAAAAATTATCTCATATGAGACTTTCTGGAAATTGTGGCATGGAACAAAACCAATTATTAAATTTCAAATACATGCAAGTGATCTTTGTGATACTTGTAAAAACTTTAGTATCAAATTTAGAGCATCAAATAATGAAGATGAACAAGCAAACATTAAATTTGAATCTGAAGAACATGTTGCTGCTGCAAATCTTGAAAGACAGCACTATAATAATATCATTGATAAAAGCAAAAATGATCCAACAATAACACATATTTGTTATGATTGGGCCCAAAGTGTTGGAGCTCCTTATTCTCCTCAACAAGTTGGGGCGATTTATTTTAAATCTCCATTTATTATACATCTTTTTGACAGATAATGGTGAAAATCATCAGTTAAATTTTACTATTGGGGAAGATGAAATGCCAGAAGGAATATCAAAAAAGGGGGCTAACACAACTTTGAATATGGTAAATCACTTTCTTAAGACAATTGGACATGTTGACAAAAAGGATCTTTATGTAACATGTGATAATTGTTCTGGACAGAACAAGAATAATCTATCTGGTCATGGCTAGCAATGTTAGGCTGGTATGAAAATATTTACATAAATTTTATGATTTCTGGACATACAAAATTTATTTGAGACTCTTTTTTTGGATTAATAAAAAAAAAATACAGATATAGGTGCATAAATATTGTTGATATGTTGAAAAAGCTATAAATGATTCATCAATAAATAATGAATCTATTAGATATAATAATGGGTTGAGTTGGAGCTGATATGACTTTAACTCAATGTTAGAAGAACATTTTAGGAATTTGCCAAATATAAGAAAATATCATTATTTTCATTTTGTAGTTTGGAAAGGTCTATGTTTCAAAAAAATTGGGTGACCCAGGAATTTGTTTTAAACTATTTAAAAATACTAATTTTGATAAAAACGGTCCATTAAATACACTTGGAACTGCTCCATTAACAGATAAACGAAAGAGATATTTATTCGACAGCATGTAGATATTCAATATAGAGATATTCTTTGTGCTGAACCTAATTAATTTGTATTTTGACAATTTATATCATATTAACATTTTTTATCAATAATTACTATTACATTTAGTTCCATTTTTAGATTTTTTGGATTCATTTTGTTATCCCTGTAATTAAATTTTATTATTATTATAGTTTAATATTGTCACTAGTCGTAGTTTTTATATCGTAGAGTAATAATATGCAAAAAACTCAATTTTGGTTGGAAGTCCTTAGACCCCTTTTTTGCTGGTGGACATCCCATATGATAAATTAATGGAATTTAATATTCCTGATTCTATCTTAAAAGAAGTTTTGTTGTTCGCAATCTCTAAAAATTTTTTTTGTGTATATAACAAAAAAAAAACAAACCCATTTCCAAGGGGCTTCAAACTTTCTTTTATGAATAAAGAATTCTACTAAGGAATTTCTTCTATTAATTTTGAAATTCTATATTAATGACTTTGTTTTTAGATAGATTGTAACTATTTATAATACATAAAATATTAATATTAATATACAATTACAATTATTAAAAATCCGGATTTTTAGTAAATTTATGTGACAGGTTTTTTCCCAAAGTAGGATAATTATAGCTTTCAATATAAATTAATTTTTTGGGGAAATTTTGAAATTTCCTTTTTTTTTTCAAATTCTATTTCCAATCCTGTTTACAATGATAAGTTCTAATATGGAAATGGTATTGAGCTTTTATTTATATAGAAAAGATTGAAGTTAAATAACAATATTAACAGACAATATTAATCATTAAACAAACATCAGCATGAATTTCACACATACCAGTTTAAAATTAACGCGGATTTGAATTTGACACACCCCAAATTTATCAATATTTCAAAGAAAAAAATTCTTCCATAATGTCTAATATACTTGGGGATTGAAATAAAGTTCGTGGTTATTTTCTCAGGGTTTTAAAAGAGACAAAAAAAAATGGTGATTTATACAAAACTCATATTTATTTTCTCGTGGGCTGGGGATACATTGTTACCAAATGAAATAATAGTCATCATATTTAACTTTGGGTTTTTATCACACATAGAAAAGAGGGTGTTACTTAAATACGTTATACATGGTTGGATCATTGCCAATACCACCCACCAAATAGCTGGATACCCTAGGTGCAGGAAGATTGAAGTTATATGTGAATCTCATGACGAAGGCTGGTCCTCTTATCCTCGTATCTATAATGTATTTACATGGGGTGAAGTTTCTTTGGTTGTTCCAAAGCGAAACATTAAATTTCAATTAAATTTAGTGATAAAAACGACCCGTGAGTATATTAATATACAAATAGACATGCCCAAATTTTGTATTTGGTTCAGATAATCATTAGTACTTGGTCTGGAAGCTGGTGATTAGATCTCATTATCCGAGTTAGAACAGTCATATTAGGAATGTCGAGTTAAAACTTTATAAAAGAATGATAATTAATTCTTATTCATTGTGATATAATGCAGTTAAATTTAATTGATAATATAATTTAGTACATCTATTTACTATTATGTAATTATTATCATTTTATATCCATTTTCTTCATTTTCACTAGATTCATATGTGTTTGATGATTGATGCAATCATATTAAGATTTTCAATAAATTCCCACTGTTCTTTTCATTTCAAGCCAAAATTGAAACATTTGCTGTAAGTTTGCAGGAATACATCATAACATAAAACTTTTGCCGGATTCCACAAAATGGCAAGAAATATTCAACAAGTGTGTTTCACCAAAGAAATTTATACAAAAAAGATAAATTGAACTGTTAATATTGATTATTAAAATTTGGATTGGTTTCAGAATTTTCTATATTTATTTTTCATTTCAAGATAAATCAGACACTCTATAAATTTTTGAACGCGTATTAAGTAATTATAATCTTAATATGGCCATAATAAAGGATTGCCCACACAAGGTGAAAAATCGTTCAACGCTACTATTGTACTATTGTGTAATGTTATTGCAGTTCTAACGTTAATATGGAAAACAAGAACTTGGCCTGAAAGGTGGTGCAGGATCATTACAGATAAAATTAACTTTCTTAAATTCTCTTTACTCATTTATTAGATTTCAATTACTTTTTTTATTTTGAATAATATATCCCGAAGAGTAGCTTATTATCATCAGATAGAACGCGCGATGAATTTGACTTTCCCTTTTTTGTAAAAATTTACAAAATTAAAATAAATAGACGATCATTGCTGGAAATAATTAAATTAAGTTGTACGAATTCAAAATAATCTAAATAAAAAGAAAAAACATTCAAGTTCTTCCCAAATCATCCATCTTTAATTTTACTATTTCCATAACATACATGAAACCTACAGAACTAGAACTCACTCCTTCCTCACCAACACCACTTTCTACCCCAACAAGTTTGTCATCACAAATAACTGATGGTGAGCCGAATCGGAAGAAAAAAATTCATGAAAATAAAGATTCAATATTTTCAGTATTTCTTGGACAAGTTCCTCGATCCAATTCACTCAACAATGACTCGACGATGTACTCAACAAATCATTTAACGCCAATATCATCATCAAACAGAAGAGGTGGGAGTCATATAAGAAAACTATCTACTGAAAATTTAAAATCAACTTTACTATTACCTGAAAATAACGATGGGTTTCGAAGAAAATCTTTTGATTCAGACAGGAGTTCTAGACATGATTTTTGCCCCCCCCCCTGAAATAGCACCCTTTGCGTATCAGTATTCTCCCTCTGACTCTCGTAAAGGTTCTACCTCAACCATATCAAGTATTACAGACTCTCATTATTTCAAAATTGGACATAGACGAACAAAAAGTTCAGAAAGCGAATCAGGAATAGAGTCACCAAATAGTAGTTTTTCTTTGACAATTAGTAACAATAATAATAGTAATAATTATAATAACAGCAATAATCACCATTCATCTCCAATAGTAGTAAAAGAAAAGAAAACAAAATTTAAATGGTTTAAAAAACCAAAAGACAAAGAACCAAAAGATAAAGACATTACACCTGAAGGTTAGCATATTGAGATGGTTTTTTCAACAAGTTAAAAAGCGTGCACCTCAATTTTGAAACTATAGATTTATATTTAATTGCTCTCCTCCAATTTATTAACCAAATTTATCTTAATCACACAAAACAGCTGAGTTAGATTGGGTTAAAGTTAGCGTGAAAAAAGACAAACTGGGAAAGAAGAAGGTAAATTAAAAAATTTATTCTCGTTGAGTTGTTTTTTTTTGTTTTTTGATGTATTCAACTATTAATGATATTAAAAAAATTTTTTTAACTAGGATCATGATTCGATTGGCATTAATTGTATTTTATCAATATCTGATTTTAATTACTTTTAAAATTTTCTTTTATTTTATAATGTTTTTGTAATAATTTTCATTACAACATTAGTGGACACTAACTTTGATAATATGGAAGGCATTATAAGGCAAAGTCGAATCTCTGGTGCAAGATTATATGATAATGAATTTTTGCATAAAAATACAATACATGACTTACCTCAACTTACCTCAACAACTGGATCGGAAGCTTGGTTAGCACCTGAGTCTTGGGCTGTAATAAAAGAACTCCCTAACGAAAGTCCAAACGGTTTTCTAAAAGATGAATTTCATGGTGCTACGGACTATTCACAAGGATCAGAAGAGCGAAAAAAATTAGTTTGTTATTACTTTTATTTGAAATTCAACAGATTTATTTTCTTTCCTTGATGATATTAATCATTTTACTTTTAATTTCAAAAGTTTTGTATACGAATATTTCGTCCCGATTCAACTTTTGGAACTGTTAGTTACCCAATATCTATAACAGCTGCAGAATTATGTTATATTCTTGGAAAAAAATTTTTTATTCAAGATGCTTCAAAATATAATATATATATAAAAAGACATAATTTAGGTAATATCTATTTAAAGTTGTATATATAATGAACGTGCATACGTGCACACGTGTGTATTTATTTATTTATTTATTAATAAAGTATTTCTATGTAATATCAAAAGAAAGAATATTAGGTCATCAAGAAAAGCCATTATTATTACAAAAAAAATGGCTTGAACGAGCCGGTTATACAGATCAAGATAATTTAGAAGATCTTGGCAGAGAAGATAATAGCTATTTGGTTCGTTTTACGTTTCGTGAAACAACTGTACCAAGTTTTGAGGTAGGAATGTTTAACAGTTAATTATTTTTAATAATGATATTTATATTCTTAAAAAATAAAATAAAATAAAATAAAATTTATAGGAGGATGCATCATTATTGAATTTTCAACATGTAGATCTTCGAGCTCGAAATTTACAAACTATTCCTATATTCCTTCATAAATATGCTTATTACATTCAAGTACTTGATGTTTCTCAGAATCTAATGTTAGATCTTCCAACAGATTTCATACAATCGTGTACTCAACTACGTGAACTTCGGCTTTTTGGTAATGAGTTAGATCGTGTACCACAATCAGTAAAGCAATCATTTATGCTTTCAAACCTTAATTTAAGTTCAAACAACTTGTGTGACATTGACCATATACAGTTGAGCGCAATTGGTGGATTAACAATCCTAAAAGTTGAGAACAATAAGCTTCAACATTTGCCAGATTATTTCACTAAATTTAATAGTTTAAGTGTATTAAATATAGCTAATAATTCTTTTGTAGAATTTCCAGTAATCATCTGTAATATCTTCACTCTTGCTGAGCTTGATCTTAGCTTTAACAAGATCGTAACAATACCTGAAGATATAGGGAAACTTTCAAATCTTAAAAGGTTATTTTTGATTGGGAATCAATTATCCGGTCCACTGCCAGAAAATTTTATGTTTTTGGTTTCTCTTAAAGAATTAGACGTGCGTAACAATCAGCTTCACAATATTGACATTCTTTCATCTGTTCCAAATCTTGAATGTCTTCTTGCAGAATCCAATAAAGTGAGCACGATAAATTCATCATCAAATTCTTTAAAACGACTCATGCTTTCAAAAAATCGTCTTACTCAATTTTGGCTTGCATCCGCTGGAACTTGTTTAACTGAATTGTTATTGTCACGCTCAAAATTAACAACCCTGCATGATGAAATTTTTGAAAGTCTTCCTTTGATAGAAAAGCTGGATATCAGTAACAATCAATTTGTGACATTGCCAAAAAAAATCTGTCTATTGACAAAATTAACGCATCTGCTATGTGCATATAATATTTTATCTGAGCTACCAAGTGAAATCAGTTCTATGAAAGCCTTACAAGTTTTAGATGTTCACTATAATAATCTTAATTCACTTCCAAAAGAAATTTGGCTTTGTTTGAATTTAAGAACCTTGAATGCAAGTTCAAATCTTCTTGAACAATTTCCATCACCTCCTCCGCTACCACTACTACCACCATTACCATCACCGAAATCTTTTTCCAATTCTGAATCTTCTCAATTAACATCATCACGTTCACACCAATACCCACTGTGTAGCTCTTTACAGAATTTGCATCTGGGTGATAATAGATTAACTTCGGATGTCTCTACAACTATTTCTTATTTTACAGAACTTAGAGTTTTAAATCTTTCTTTTAATAGTTTGGACGAAATACCAAATGGAGGCATTACAAATCCTCATTTGACTGAATTGTATCTTTCTGGAAATCAATTGTCATCCCTTCCTGATGAGATTGAAAGATTATCAGGTTTAATGGTTTTGCATTTGAATGGTAATAAATTACAAACATTACCAGCTGAATTAAGTAAAATAAGAAAATTAATTGTGTTGGATGTTGGTAATAATTCTTTAAAATATAATATTGCAAATTGGCAGTATGATTGGAATTGGTAAGTTAATATGTAATGTATATTTATATATTTTATATATTTACGTTTATGAATCTATAATAAATTAAATGAATGAGTGATTATAATTCTTTCTTTAAAAAAAAAATATTTTTAAAAATAATAATAATAGGAATTGGAATTTTGATTTAAAATATTTAAATTTATCTGGTAATAAAAGATTTGAAATCAAACAAGTTCATCTCAGTGAAATAAATCCTATAAAGGAAAGAAACCTGGCAGATTTCAATGCATTAACTCGGTTACAAGTTTTGGGTCTTATGGATGTTACTCTTTTAAATTTAATGGTTCCTGATGAGAGCGACGATCGTCGTGTCCGTACTTCATCTTCTGAAGTTAATTCAATGTCATATGGAATGGCAGATAGATTAGGTCCACATGATCATCATCTTTCAATATGGGAAACTGTCATTCCAAAGTTTCGTGGTCGTGATGATGAATGTTTATTTGGAATTTTTGATGGTAGGTATGGAACAGATCGAAGTGATCCTGTTACCAAATATCTTCATGACTGGCTTCCGTATCATTTCAAGGCAGAACTTGAGAAGCTTAAAGATAACGAAACAGTTGAATCAGCTATAAGAAGAACCTTTTTAAGTTTGAATAAAGAACTTGGATCAAAAGTCTTCAATTCAAGTATGGAGGCTGAATATACTATGGAAAAAGAAAATAACCGTACATCGTCATTACAAATTGATGATAATAAGTCAGGTGCATCTGGTTTAATTGCATATATTTCAGGAACAAAATTATATGTTGCAAGTGCCGGAGATACTACTGCAGTCATTAGTCGTAATGATGGCAATGCACATGCTATTGCATGTTGTGAAAATCCAAATAGTCCAAATGAGTTTCAAAGAATAAGAGATGCTGGTGGGTTTTTGTCTCATGATTTTCTGGTTAATGGAGAAATTGAAGTTTCCAGGTCATTTGGGCATTTCCATTTGATGCCAATTATAAATTCCGATCCAGTAATTGAATTGGTAGAGCTTTCAGAGCAAGATGAATTTGTCATATTAGCAACCAAAGGTTTATGGGATCATATGAGTTATCAAACAGCAGTAGATATTGCAAGAACTGAAAAAGAGGACTTGATGCTTGCAGCACAAAAATTGCGTGATTTTGCTATTACATACGGATCAGAAAAAAAATTAATGGTGATGATAATTGGTGTAGGAGACATGTTTGATCAGAGATTAAAAAGATATACAATGGCAGGAGACTTAAATACTAAAAGAGGAATTTTACAAATTGCAGAGGAAGTAGGCACAACATTTTTCTTTGGCACTAGTAAGAAACGAATAAGAAAAGAAGAAATTCCTAGTGATTCTATGATGGCGAGATTACAAAAGGAAATTACACCGCCTACAGGACAAGTTGCATTGGTGTTCACTGATATTAAAAATTCAACTTTTTTATGGGAAACCGTACCTGTAGCAATGCGACATGCAATTAAACAACATAACACAATAATGCGACGTCTTTTACGTAATATTGGTGGGTATGAAGTGAAGACAGAAGGAGATGCTTTTATGGTATCTTTTCCAACAGTGACATCAGCACTCCTTTGGTGTTTAACAGTGCAAGTTCAACTTCTTGAAGTTGATTGGCCACAGGAAATCATTGATTTAGATGATGGTAAGGAAATTTATGGCGGTAGGGATAATGATATGATATATAGAGGGCTATCGGTTCGTATGGGTATTCATTGGGGGACACCGTTGTGTGAAATTGACGTTGTAACAAAAAGAATGGATTATTACGGGCCAATGGTTAATAGAGCCGCTAGAATATGTAATGCAGCTGATGGAGGGCAGATCTGTGTTAGTTCAGATATAGTGTCAGAGATAAGGTTATTGGGAGGCCTAATTAATAAACATGATCCAAACAATGAAGGAAATGGAGAAATGATTCCAGGGAATGTTATAAAAGTTGCAGATACAACTGTTATCGTTGATAAAAATCTTATTGCATTAAGAAAAATGGGATTTGTTGTTCAACAAATAGGAGAAATTAAACTTAAAGGTTTAGAGAATCCGGAACAGCTTTCATTGGTATTTGATTATTTTTATAAAAAAAAAAATTAAAATGTTTGAAATTAAATTTAATGATTAATTATTATATATATATATATATTTACACATTGATAGGTTTATCCAGATGCATTAAAAGGCAGAATGGAAGAAGATAAATCTAAAGATCGGCATTCTATAGTGCAAGAGGTATTTATTTAATTGAAGATTTTTTAACTAATTAATTATTTGATAATATATACATGTGTAATTAATTAATAATTCTCCGTTTATAAAAATTTAAAAGAAGATTATTGATCCAACAGCACAAATACTAGATCCAACATTAGTACGCTCACTTGGTTATTTATGTCTTCGTCTTGAACGTGTTTCATCAGGCACTATGAACCAAAGAAGTAGTCGTAATTCGCGTACAGATTATCTAACAGGATTGTTAACATTTCATGTTAAAGATATTGCAGACGATGAAGAATTATTAAGGATTGTGGAAAGTTTAATAACAAGAATTGAAGTATGTTATTTATATATATATATATTCGATTATTTGAAATGCTAAATGATATTAATATATATATTTTTCACAAAATAAAATAGAATTCAATATCTACTCTATATCTTAAAAAAGTACAAGGGTATGCAAAAATTATCGAGGAGTTATATAAACAGATAACGGATGCCTCCTCAAACATGGAATAAATATAATTTAATCAGCAATGTATTATTAGTAGGATTTATTTATTTTTTATTTTATAGAAAAGAAAAATAATATAATAATAATTAATTTATTATAGTTATTATAGAGATATATATTAATTTAATTGTAATTTTTTAATTTATTAAATTTTATATAAATGGCATGAAACATTTATCAATTTTCATCTTATTTTCACCCAAAATGCTTTTTATTTTATCAGTAGTCATCAGTAAAGATTTGTTATCGACGCTGGTGGGAATGAATACATACTAAGCACCTGTGACCTAGAGTTGCAGCTTCAAAGTGTATCACCTAAGTAAAATAGCAAATTAAATATATAAATATGTAGAGTTCCTTAAACTAAAACTAAACCTAGAGTACTAAGCACATAATCCATCAAGAAATCAAAACTCGAATCAGATTTGTCATTTATACTCAAAAATAAAGTATTTCGCAAGTAATGCAAGTTTATTTTGATTTTACCAGCTTATTATATACATGAGGAGTGATGCATTGGAAATTTTTTTAAAAATTTAGCATGGTGAAAAAGTAAAAAATCATTATACTATTTAAATCTTTTGATGCGAAGAGAAACATTGTAAATAATGGTGATTATTTTTTTCTTGAAGAAACCTTAGATAGGATGCGTTCCATTGCGCGCACTGATGGCTAGTTCATCGCAGTAAGAATCACTTCTCCAGCCGGTGGACCAATGATGTCGTTGGCAAATCGCCTGGTTGGTCGACGATGCAAATAATTATGATATATAAGTGAATTAACTTGATCAGGACCAATTGCTTCAATTAAGTCATTTTCTAAAACGAATTCTTGATCCTCTGCCTTCACTATTGTTTCCATAGTCGTGATTAAATCTGATGTTTCCCAGGATGGTGGGTAAGGCTATCAAGCCCTCGGAATAAATACCACATATCAATCTATTATATTCTGATTCGTAAACTGAAAAGTCATAATCTGTAAAATATATTTTTTTAAACATTAGATTTTAAAGTTAACAAAGATGCTCATTTTTTAAAAGAAGATAAATCTGATATATACCTTCAAGCTTTCCTTCGTAATTTTTGTGTTCTTTGACATACATATCAATAATGAGTATTCGTGTACTTGTCATTCTGTGAATGCGGTCAAATTTGCCTCTGAGCTCTTTGCACTCTTTTTTGAACAAAGAATACCATCATGTGAGCACTCAGTACGTATAAATAATACGAGTTCAGTAAAGTCATGCCATATTGATGAAGGACATGCATTTCAAAAAATATTCTTCAGCTTCTTCCCTACTCAAATCTCCAACAACATACGGGGTTGCATGTGGGATATGCAAAACTATTGGGCAACAAATGTAAGAGAATGGTGGACCTTTCTTTGCAACCAAATATAAAATTGACTTACGTTTTACGATCCAGTTAAAAAAGAATGAATCGGAAGAGGTAAGCACCACATGAAATCGACTTTTTTCTTTTGTATTTACTACCACCCAGTTCAGGATTGATTTGAGAAGAACTTCTCTCTCTTTTGAACTCCCAAGTTGGCTAAACATGTTTGCTTCATCAATGAACAAAATTGGTGGAGGTATGTTATAACTATCCCAACAGGTCCATTTCGGAAGAGCATTTTCAATATTATCAAGCAACTTTATGACATCATTAGAAGTAATCTCTTTCTCATTAAACTGGTCCCCACTAAATGGCTTAAATTTTAACAGTAAATCGTCCGTCACAGCACTGATTTCCCCTTGTTGAAGCATTTTTTATCAAGAATTTCGTATGTCTCTTGAAAAATGGATGGAATTGTGAAGAAATTGATTCATATATTGTCCTTGGTGTGTCAAATTGTCCTTTACGACAGTTGATAAAAAGAGGGTTGAAATCGCCTTTACTCGTTACCTCGTGGATCAATGCAGTTTTTCCGCTACTAGGAGGGGCTTAGAACAACATGAAGTTGTGAATTAGCATTAAATACATTTTTAAACTTAACAAGTTCTCGTTTCCGATCGAAAAAGCCCTTTTCACAATTAACTTGTGTTGTATAATGAGCAACACGGCCATTACTCAGTGTATTTGAGATACAACTACCACCAGTGGACAAGCGTTTGAAGAATTTAGTTAAACTGAAAACAAACATAAGAATAACTGACTAAATAGAAAAGTTTTTCACACATAATCTGTGCAGCAATTGGTTTTTATCAGGGTCTCGATAAATTCTAAAAAAAATTGATGATTAAAAATGACGCTATCACTAAATCTGAGAACCCGCACTGTATGGCAAGCTGAATGGACAAAAGATCATTTGAATTAAATGCTAGAAATTTTCAATAAAACGGCACACTCCGTTTTTTTAATGATACACGCATTTTTTATTTTTACACGTCATTTCCTAAAAAAAATGCTTTTGCTCAATTAGATGCAGTGTGATTGTTAAATTTCTAATAATTAATAAACAAGTCATTGGCCAAAAAATATGCACCTGCATCTTTTCCATCATCAATTTTCTTTTGTTTCCAATTATACTAGCATGCAAGTTTAAT